CAGAAAAATCTCACCAGATAATCAACAGTGAACCAGTCTTTAGAAACAAGAATCATAATATGATATTATTTTATTTCCATACAAAATCCTAAATGTTTGATAACTGCTGTTGACATTGTACTTGATTTTCAAATACAACACATTCTTACTTTAGTCAAAAGTGAAAAGTTTATTTGCAAACACTACCTAATAATAACTTATATTTTATAATGCACAACTGTACCTGTTTCTTTACCAAGTTCATGATGTAGAATTATTCACTCAAAAGTAAGTAAGCAAGTAAGGTTTTCCACGCCCATTACCATTGGGCAAAAAACAAAACCTTTTCATATAACATGTCTAATTTAACCACATTACCTAAATGTCCATAATAAAATTGTTACTCATCACTGGTATAATAAAAAGTGCAATTTATCTCAATTTACACACAGAAATACAAGGAATAATTTGGACCGAGAGTGAACAACAAATCAACAAATTTTCTTTTTTATAAAACTAAGGTTTCTTCATGAACTGTTTGCATGAATTACTTCAACTTGTATATTTAAATACACACAATAAAATAAAACTATAGCAACTGATGTATCCTTGGAGCTTTTATTTTTTAACTCGAGAATCATAACTGAAGAATGATCATTCACAAAGACACTTCTGCTGCTGCTGCTACACAGAAGTGTTTGTTCATACACTTACAAATCCTGATTGCTTTGTCCTTGGAAGGGTATGGAAATGGCATACTGCCACACATAGTATCTGAAAATATCATATCATGTTCTGGTAGAAAGTATCCTAAAAGAAGACTGACTGAAATATAAGATTAGCAGTCACAAAAAGCTCAAATTAAAAGAAACTAGCAAACTTCCCACATAAGGCCAAATCATTAACTTCATAATTGTTAGTCAGTGTCTATATATTAAAAAATTCTTCGCTGAAAACATTCATTCAAAACGAGAGCATTGATGGAAGCAGGCATTACTGCAATACAGCTACCAAGATGCTGTTAATTCATAGCCAAATCTTCCACCATTAAATCCCATTAGGTCCAGGTTTTCAATTATAAACTGAAAAGCTTGATATAGGGACCGTCATTATCTTCTGTTCCACATAACACAGCACTTAAATTGTTCAGGATCAAACACCAATGGCAGACTTTTAGATTCACTGCTCTCACCTCTCATTTGCTGCTGCACAAATGTGTATGTCCAACATGCAATACGTAGCTGTAATTTTTATCCTAGTGTGTGACTGTACACATACAGTTACCTAATTTTTATCACAGTCAGAAATATAATCCAGATCATAATAGGAAAAAAATCTCCTGTACTGTGTTAAATGTACTGGACCTTATTTATTCTTTTCTTCTTTTAACTTTCTAGAAACAGATATAGTCATTCAACTAACACATGGCAAAATAAAAATAAACTCATAAGAAAAACACATAAAACGTAGTATTTATTAATAATAATAATAATTTAATATTTATATTTAGCTAATAACTCTTTAGTGTAACAGGTGTTTGAATAAATTCTGCCAGTAGCCATGCACAGGATGGGATGATAGCATGCTGTATTACTCTTGGTTCTCCAAAGCACATAAAAAACTGCCTGGAGTATATGTAACTGCAGGATCCAATATTCTGGATGCAGATTATTCTCTGAAGATAAACACTGAAACAACCACAGAAAGAAGCATTCAGAGGACTGCCAAGAACCAAATTCAATTACAAAGTTAACATGTCACTTTTCGCGGCGTAACAGCCCTCTGAGAGCCAAAGCCGACTAGCTGGCTGCTGGCCTCACGTTCACATGCCTAAGCAGAGGTGAGTGATCATCCAACCAGATATAGGATGACGTGTGATCAGCACGACGAACCCCCAGTCATTGCTAGTTTTCATGACCGGATTACACTACCCATTGTAGCTCCCCAATTTCCTCACGATGCAGGGTTGGCACCGGTCCCATACACCGGTCAAAAATCTCATGAGAAATTTCTTTCCCCAAGACTCAAACCAGCGCACATTCCGTATCACCGGTCTGAAGCATGTATGCCTCAGAACGCATGGCTACAGCGTGGGACAACATGTCACTTTGATCCACTAAAATCAAGTGGCAAATGTGTTAGAACACTGAGAAGGGTTTCAAAATGTCCTGCACAAGTAGCTAAAATAGAAGACGGCCATCTTCAGACACACCGCCATGAAAATCTCAAATCCTACTTATCTAAAAATATATGGTAAAAATCATCCAGTGCATATATTTTCCACAAAATTTTTAATTTTTAGGAAATAACGAAAACCTAAGTACAACAAAAATTATTGTAGTATCTGACATTTCTTTTAAAAGAGTCATTTAAGTAACACACATTAATGTTACCAAAAATTAACAGAAACAATAAATTAATCAACCCTTAAAAGCCTAGCAGTAACTGGATATTCCACCTACTTTAATTATATATAATTACATGTTTGCAGTTTCACAGGCAAGATCATTCACAAGTGCATTTCTAATCTTAAAAAAGTATGCAGTTAAATTACTTAATTTTCCTTAAATTTTAATGCACATTTAAAATGCACAACAAAATATTCCACTTGCAGTGGGAAAAGGTATGCTTAAGAAGAGATGAAATTCAATGTTCACTCACTGCAAAAATGTACAAAGCACAAAAAAATGTGTAACTGACCTGTTGAATGTCTTGGTGTCATTTTCAAGCAACGTACGTGTAGACTTTCCTGCAAACAGATACAAAATAAAAAACAGTGATGCTAATTACAAAAGTGCATGCATTGGCCCTTTTCCAACATATTCACATCTGGGTAGGTACATGCTTGGTATATTATTATTATCAATATTTCACAGAGGTGAATTTAATCATTTTAAACCCAAGCCCAACAAAGCTCCAAGCTTAATCTAAAGATTTTATTCTAAATACATCCTAAAGTTGTAAAACTGTTTAACAATACTTCATAAAATTAACCTATAATGGACACAGAGGTGCATACATTTAGAAAAGCTAAAAATACATTGTATATATGAATTTATTTGGAAGTTATGCTACACTTAATATGTCCTGCTAAAACAGCAACTTCTCTCTCTTTTTATGGAGGTATTTCACAGTGCATGAATTTTCTGGCATTCTTAAGCCACCTGTCTCTGGAAACCATTTTTTACATTGAGAACATAGTGACTTGGCAACATCTGATTATCTAGATTAAATGTGGCTGATCATGTCTGTCCATCTGTCCACATGCCTGCATATTTCAACTTGAAAACCAGTAAATGAATTCTGATCAAATTGTGTGTGTTACACCACCCCAAACTCATACCTTTCTAATTTCCTACAACCAGTAAAAATAACATGGCCGATGCACAAACTTGTGAGGTGTGGGCAACTTAGGCACCAATTAATGCAGGTGCAAACTTTTATACACATCTAGCAGAATGAATAATTCCAGTTCATGTAGAACTTAAATTTTCAGCACAAACAAAAAATACATACCTATCTTCCGGTGTCCGTGCTAAGTATTCTCTTTCTATGAGTCCTTCTATTCGCTTCTTTATGATAACTGGGGATGGCAGAAACCGACTCTTCAGTTGTTCTGTCACTTCAGCAACCAATACATTGTGCTACAGCAAACATAAATAAATGTTATACATATATTTGAAATAAAAACAAAGGCCATCAATTCCAGTATATTACACTTAAAAATATTTTAAAGCAAAAGAACAATTACTGAAATTAAATTGGTTCTCAAGATCAGACTACTTAAAAAATACTTACAGGCATCCGTTTACGTGCCTTCATTATCCTCACAATAGCAGCCTCAATTTCATGTTTTCTATCTTCATCCACTTTGTTTCTAGTTTCTCTACGCTCAGGCTCAGATTCACCTTTCGCAGCAACTGTTTGGATTTTTACTCTAAAAGATATGTAAGAAGTCTTTTTATAGCAACCCCAAAAAAAGTTCACACACAATTTATACACAAATATACACAGAACACAATTATAGGAAAATAAATCATAAAATCACCAACCCGTGTCACAACTGCAGTGCTGACCAGTTCAGACAGGGAAGGCCACTGAGGCTATCACAACACACATGTTAATCATTAGCCCCTGAAGCAGGATCTGTGTGACACGTTTTAGGTGACAGCAAATGCACGAACATTAGATATACAAATAGAGACTCGTAGACAATAACAACACATACCTGTGAAGTTTTGAAGTAAAAGAGTCATTCACAAAAAATATATGATTTGGTTCAATATCTTTTGTTTTAGGGGTTTTAATTAGGATCCTCTGTGTAGCTTTACCCATAGCTAAAGACTGCAAGGCACGGATCAAATCTCTTTCTGGTATATCGGTTTCACTTTGGATTTCCTGTAAAAAACAAAGACAAAACATAAGGTCAGTTTTCTTGTAATCTGTGTAGAAGCAGCTGTAATAGTAGTAGTACCAGCAGCAGTACAGTGTAATGTGCATTCTGCCATATTATTTTACTCTAACACCCACAGCTGGTTTAGGCACTATAGGAAAACTAGTCACCTAGATGACAAAATGGGGGGGAGGGGGAGGAAGCACAAAACTAAATGAATAAAAAAAGAAATCATGAAATGGCATAAAACAGAAGTTAAGAAGTGACAAAATATAGAAAGAGAAAAACAAAAAGGGCAGAAGAAACGTGTTTACTTTCATGGCTTTGTAATGCCAGCAATATTTGGCCTCATAAATGGTTAATGTGAGTGTACTGAGGCTGACAATGTGAACAGACACTGCATTTCATGACAAAGACTGCCTCATGAATAAGCAACTTTAGTCTTCATGACATGATATGACAGGTCTTGTGCTAACAGGTCCTGTTTTGATTTTGATGACACCCCTTTACCCCATTACAATGATTAGATGCAGGATGTGATGTACTAAAAATTATCTCCAAATCTTTCAGAAGCAGTAGTCAAAACATATCCCTGCAACAGTCACACAAGTTATGCTCCTTCTTAGTAGCAGACATCAAATTTTTACAGGATTTAATACTGCTTCTAACAAAACACTGACCAAATATATTTTAGTAAAATATATTCACAATTATCAGCCAATAAGTGATAAGACTTGAAGGAAAATGATACTACAGAGAAGCATGCTTTACATAATATTTGTTCTATGAAGGAAAAATGTGTTTTGATTAAAGGCAGCTGCAGCATCAGTTATGTTTAAGTTTTTCCCATTGCTACTCTTGCTGGTGTTTGCTATAAACTTTTAACCTTTCAATACTGAGGTAAACAGACTTCTCTAAATTGTAAATGGGGCATTGTTGAAGTTAGCTTTCCATACAAAACACCAACAATACAAAATATTACTGAATTATTTCTTAAAGTACCTAAATCTGCTTATTTATGACTATGTACACACTTTCACATAATGTAATATTATTATAAAATAGATAAAATTCGTGATTCCACGTCGTCGCCAATCTTTCGTCACCAAACAATTATGTCATCAAACAATGTTATGTCATTTGTTTACTTGGCATTGTTGTGTTGGTATACAAACACAACAATACTGAGTAAACAAATGATGCTTCACAACGACGAGATCACCAACTACCAAGACAGTCGCATGATCACTGCTCCAGAAGCAGCACATCACATTCTTGAAAATGAAGATTTGACTGACAGTTGGCCTCCGAACAGCGATGTAAAGAACTAAAACATCAAACCTATTTAAAAAATGAAGAAAAGTGAAAGAAGACGTTATCAACCATTTGAAGTACCAACACCAACAAGGTAAACTGATACTAATAATACTACTCATTCAATATATTACGATTACAAAAACTATTACGAAAACTGACTTTATGATCGATTTTAAGACAAAGATTTGTAAGGGTGGAGTTGGACGTAGAAAGTTGACTGACCAAGAACAGTTGGCCTCTGAACAGCGACGTAAAGAAGTAAAACATCAGATTAGAGAAAGCGCTCTTAAAGGAGCGCATTTCTCTAGTATTATTATAATAGAATAGTATTGTGAAAGAATAAAAACTACACAATAATGTGAAAATGTAACAAGGGCAGAAAAAGTGATGTGATATAAGGTAGCAAATTCTACACTTTAACAGTAAAAGGTCACATTCAAGAAATGCAATGAGGAACAGTGAGCCAAGATCGACCAGTGCAGCAGTTTTAAAAGGATGGATTTTACTAACTGTAGTAAATGTTAACAAACTATTAACAAATAAATAAGCTTTTACAAGTTGATATATTGGAATATTGACATTTTATATTAAATTCTTTAAAACATTAATATTTTCAAAATGAAGGTAAACATGGGCATACAGAGATCAAACCAAATGTGACATCTTGGACAAAAACATCGATGATGGTCTACTAATCACCATAATGTGTATGTTCATGTAACAGAACAACTATAAGATTAAAAGTGCCTATAATGGGGAAATAGTTATGACATTCTTAAATCTTTATGTGTTTAGACAACAGCTGGGAAAACAAACAATTCTGAACTGCATGGTAGAAACCAATTCCCAAATCTAAGCACTTTAAATTTTTTCATAAATGTAATTTTGATTTGTTACTGCAACTTCAAAATAACTTGAAAGTCACATTTTCAAAGGATTTATTACTTATGTTTTATATTATGACTGTCCAAATTCTGGCAATGAGAGTATCATATATGATACTTAGACTTCTCTGTGTTTACTGCTACAGTAACCTTCTCAAGCATCTAAGAAAGTCTATTTTTCTTGTGGAATCTATATTTTTGACCAATAAATTAACATCATCAGCACAGATGACAAATTGATGTGTCCCATTCAATTCTAATCCCTCAATGCTGCATATTGTAAAGGAAAGTTGAAAAGTAATGGTGATAATGCATCGTCTTGCTTCAGAACATTGTGAATAAACAAATATTAACATTCAGTTTTAGTAACTAACTCACTAACTCAATGGAGCAGAGTCCTTCCTCAAGCATCAGCCAAAAATTATAAAAAAAGTTGGGTTAAAATTACTTTAAATATATGGTTCCAAGATTTTGAAAACAGACACATTCTTTTACAATATATTTTTGGAGAACCAGGAAATAGCAAAGATTTATGAACTTAAGTACAGTGCCAACAGTCATTTTCAATACACTCACCAGCAAAAGTTTAATTCTTCTTTTTCCAGTTTAACAATATTTATACATTTTCCGGTACCCTTTTACGGGTCCCCAACTTTTTTTTTTTAGTTAGCTTGATCTATGGACATTCGGTAGGACTCCTTGGACGAGGGATCGGCCTGTCGCAAGGCCTCTAACTATACACAGGACAGCACAACACAGAAAAACATTCATGGCTTGAGTGGGATTTGAACCCACAGTCCCCGCGACCAAGCAGCACAAGGCCCACGCCTCAGACCGTGTGGCCACTGCGGACCCCGCAAAAGTTTAATCAAAAGGATAAAAATGTGCTTGCAGTAAACCAAAGAAAAATGAAAAAGAAATCGCAGCAGCAAAAATTACTGTTCATGTTAGAATTGTTACAAATTCTGTAATAGACACTGATATACACTATGTGCAAGAAATGTGTATTTGCTCATTTATGTAACATACAGAAATATGTGCAAAATGGAAAATATTTCTTAGTCCCATTGAATAACAAGGTCTCAACACACAGTCCTGGATTTTGTAAAGATTTTGCTAGATTTTAAGCAGTCAAATTTTGATTCAAATCCAAAGAAAACAAACTGTGGATAATGAGAGTGAATTCTCTCAACACAAATACTGAGGGGCATACCTCATAATTAAGTTTGTCCCTGTTGTTGAAGAGCATAAGAACACACATCTGGTACGTTGAAACTTGGATGATGTGTTTACGAGGTCCATTATTTCGCTGTGATGATACCGACACCACGTTCGTTGAAGAGCTTGCCCCATCTTTGCCTTCACCTTCTTCTTTACGTGGTCCATAAAAGACAGCATTCAAGTCTGAGGAACCTAACTGAGGCTGAAGTGTTAACTGTCGACCAGTGTGTTTTGCAAGGTAGAATCTGTTTGAGAAAATTTACAAAACTTAACTTTGGTTCTCAATGTTGGTCTTCTGAGTTGTAATACCATGTGGACTGAAGGTGGGGGAAGTATGTTCCTCTGAAATATCAGTATTTACTTACAAGCCAAAATGGTGTCACATGCTAGAAGTTCAACATCATCAGAATCTAAAATCTTACTAACTTGTGGTCACTTAATATAACAATAAATGTATACTTGTAGCATTCTAGCTGTTCATGCAGCTCACTACAAATATTGCCACAAATAGCCATGAAATAAAACACATCCACAAACTACACTTTATATTCATAAACAATTGTATCATAGTTTTCTAACAAATCACTCACTATATAAAAATGTGCATATGAACACAGATACTTACCCATTCTTCATCACAGATCAGACATACCTAAGATTTTTATGTATATATATATATATATATATATAAATATAACATCAAGCTGTGAGACTGAGTTTGCATATTAACAGGCCTGACCTACTGCCAAGGAGTATGAACAATTAAAGTAAACAGCATCAGTGGAAATATCATATCAATTATTCGCATACATTCCTCTATTTCATATTACATACATAAAGAAAAATTGAAAAGAAAAGAAAAATAATTTATGTTTACCAGCCTATGACAAATAAGATAAGTAAATCACTGATTCCCATGATTAGATGCAGGACGCTTAACCCTCAAGGACTCGCGTTGTGAGAGCAGCACCACATTTTCAGTAAGAGTCTGATAACTCTTTCTAGGAATTGTTTTCTCTCCTGTAACTCTCTCTATGTTAAGAGGAAAACCCCTTACATGGATATTTCAAAGGAAATATTTCTAGCTATGACTATAGACCCACTTTGTTCAGTTTACTTTTAGAATTCCAATAATGCGGCGGCCCGCTCACATGTGAGTGTTTGTGTTCCAAAGTCAACTTTTTTTAAGTTTGGGTTAATTTCTTCTTTATTGGTCATGTTTACCAATAATGGCTTCTAAAACAAGATCTTCTGATCCAAATGTTTGGTTGAAGTGGTTATTAGAAGAAGAAGAATGTGAAAGAGAACAGTCACTAATTTCATCAAAAACATCTATAACAATTTCTCTCAAGTGTTCTTCTTCACGGTTTCAAGGCAATGGCAAAGCAACCATACTATAACCACGTGTTATCATGCAGCAGATCAAAAAATAACTCTCATCTGACTATTTACTCTACTATGACACACTGGAATCTGATGCGAAGAATGTAAACTTCAAGACCTACAAAAACAATATTTAATGAACTGGAGCAGTAATATAACATTCAAACTGTACTAAAATGTGAAAATTCAAGCTCCAAAACATTAGAGTGGTCACATTTTTAATCTGGTCCCCTACACCATAATATTACAGCGGCTGCACTACACGTGTTAATAAGCAAACCACTGTCCAGCTGAATTCACTTACCTCCTAAATGCTTCAAATGCATTACGAGGAGCAGTAGGAATACTGCATTTTGGTGTGGCACTTTGTGTTGGCCAGAAACCTGTTGTAAGGACTCGAACACTTAAATCGACACCATGCATATTTGTCTGAAAACATGATCCAACATTTCTTAGAGCATCATACAAATCATTTCAAACGAACACAACAAGTATGTACTTTGCTTTAACTCAGTCTTTAATATCACAGAAGCAAAATGAAAGTACAAGAGCTAGTAAGGGATGTTGTATTAAAAAATAATCTAATAATTCTCTTCTGGGGCAAAACATTTTTACTAAGCTGTCATATTCTTTTGTCACAACAAACGACAAAATATTTCAATGCATATTTAAATCTTAGGTCAGGATCATGTCCTATGGCAGTCTTTGATATTAGCAGTGCTCAACTGCTTAACCTTCAGGTTATGCTACCTTACTCTCTTTAGGTCTTGCTTTAGATTTTCTAAAAATAAACAGAATGGCAACAGTTTTTTGAATGAATAGTAACAAGATTTTCCCTTTTTTTATAATTTCATCATGAATCTCATACTGATCTGTCATAGCTATTCCCAGCTACTCACATTATGAAACAACTTAAAAGAAAGTTATATACTTAGAAATAAACATTCAGAGTTTTCCTTTCCGATGACATAAACCGGATACATGTTTGACAATTAGTTTCCGAGATATAAATTTTTTATTTTGGATACCTTTCATCCGGACACTCTGTATATAGTTATACTAAATCATAACATCAGAAAATCATTTATAATTGTTTATTTTTTCTGGTAACCGTGGAACATAAAACTATGTTACTGTAGTGGCAGTAAAAATAAATTTGATGACCATTTATCTAGCCCACATCCATACACGAAATTCATTATTTCTTGAAGATAATTAATGGAGCAGAAAATATTAAAATGGTGCAGTGTGTAGCCATGCGTGACACTATAAAACAAAGCATTAAAAGGACATGGAAATCGATATGTATCCTAGAATTATCATACAGTACAGATGAATGACAGGCAAAGGTTTAAGTTACATATTAGTGTCAAATGTCATGGACTGCAGGAGGCTGACAAACTCAGCTTTTCATGGTACAATTTTAAAAATTAAAGAATCAATTTTCTTCTAAAGTTTAACACAACTAAGTACTTAAAATAACTGTAATGGGCAAACATTTTCCCTTAATAATGTATTCCAAAATCATTATTCCATACTTTCCTGTACTTTATATGCTATCTGCCATTGGTCCAAATTCTATTTCTTGGGGAGCTACAGAATTTGATTAATGTCTATTATCAAAGTAGAAACTTTGTATTCCTGATGACTACAAGATCATTAAATCTCCTATATTCTAAGAATGTTTATTTTCAGATTCTGAGACATAATTATAAATTCTGTATTGACATCTTATCTTAAGATTGCTGTCTTCTGGACTGTTATGCCGCATAGATGTGTAACTTGCGGCACTGATGGTGGAGGCAGTAAGGACCTCTGAAATGTTGATAAAATTCTACCAGATGAAGATTTCTGTCTTCTGGGTTGTTGCGTTCTGTAGTCTGGTCAATGTTAACCAACATTTCAGAGGTCATACTGCCTCCTGCGATCGCCCTGATGATAGAGGCAGTATGACCTCTGAAACGTTGGTTAACATCGACCAGACTACACAGCACAACAACCCAGAAGACAGAAATATTCATACTCACCGCTGTGAAAACCTCAAATCTTACAAAATTCTACCAGACTGCACAGTGCAACAACCCACCCAGAAGACAGTCTTCCTCAGACTCACCACTCAACACATCTTTTATTCATGAAATTCTATTCCTTCTATGAGTAAATAAAATATAATTTATTAATTACAGACTTACCCCTGATGTCTGAAGGTGAACTTTGAATTCTTCCATTATAGTATTAGATACTGTCATGTCCTTGAACATGCCTTCTAACTTTGAAGTGAACTGGCAACCACACTCAGTCTACAAATACAACTTGAAGTAATGTTTTTGACAAGAACATCACAAAATTGCAAGAACAAAATTCAAATACAAAAACAGAAATTAAGGATTAGATTAGTCTGCATCTCAGTTACATGACTCACAATCAAAATGTAATATATATACTTATTTATAGCACATAACAGACTGCTTATTTCAGCAAGATTATGACATCCTGTGCAAAACATCTTTAAACCTGACAACAAATGTTTAAACCTTTGTGGTTCACTTCCAATTAGTAAGGAACATTTTATTAAGTACTAAAATTATAGACTTTGGCATTCAAGTACAAGGACAGTTAATATTTGATTCAGTGTTCATGTGTTTCGATTTCTCCATTTTAAGCCAATCCATCCTAAAAAATTCCATCCTGTACGGATAGGACAAATATGTAAGTGTAGGGGAAAATACCAAGAAAACTGTTCAATATAAAAATGAAAGTGACTGACATGCCACAATCAAACCTATGGATCAAATTTGAACTGACACAGTACTTGCAGCTATGAATTGCCAACCCACTTGAACTTCAAACATAGATATAAAAATGGTCCCAATTTATACAAACAGGATTCCACAGCCCTAGTGCACCCCACACACCTTTCAAAACATGTTCAACATGGCATTATGAATTATATTGAAAAAAGTTGGACCATGAACAAAGCATAGCATTTTTGTTCTGACACCTTACTAAGGTTTCTATGGGACCCACAATTTGAAAGCAGCCACACAAATTAATATATCAGCTTTGAAGAAGTGCTGTACTCTGAGTCAAAACTAATATATTATTTGAAAATCATGGAATATTTTGTATTACATCTTAGATAATAGAAAACCTTTTCACTATAACAGTCAGTCTCTGATAGAATGCTCTCAAAATACAATCTAGAACTTCCCTCAATTTTATTAGTACATAAAATAACTGTTTCTTATAAAAAAAACTGTATCATAATGCAGACTTCTTACTTCCACATACTGAATACTCTCCAATAAAAATGAGAATCCAATAAAATAATTATATAGCTACCCTACCATTAACGCTTCAGTAAAGAAAATAAATACCATAAAAATAATGCATGTCTCTCAAGTAAAATTGTGTAAGTTATGAGAATTTGAGTCATAACTAATACTGGTACATACTTGTTCTTACTACTACAATAATAATAATAATAATACTGACCGCTTCACACAAGAATTAAATTTTAAAGAAAAAGATAATTTCTTAAGAACCTCTACAGAACAGAATTAAAGAAAACTTTACTCTCATAGATACAGTTACAGTGAAATACCACCTCTATGTTTCTCAAAAATGATTTGGAAATAAGACTTTACCTTCAGCTTAGAGATCATGTTCTTTTCACTGTCATCACTCACAGACTTATTGAGTAATAACCTCTTGGCTAAATGCTGTTTATAATAGCGCTCAAATACATCCTTCTCTTGCAGGAATCTAAACAGTACCATAGTCTTGTCCAGCACCAACTCAATTTCCGTTTCTGTCATCTATGCCAGAGAAAGAAAGAGAATAAACAGAACTGAATAAAATAATATACAGCAGTAAAAATAGGTTAATGTCAGAATTCAGCATTTAATTTCTCAGACCACAGATTCAGATATGTACGAGGCGCGTCCACAAAGTAAGTTTCCCACTCGTCCCACAGCTAGCAAACCTTATATTGCGCGAAGCGACTGTGCGTACGTGATAGAGCAATGACGTAGCATGGCACATGCACTAACGGCACTTCCCGCGTTCTCACAGTAGCATCGTTGCAGCTGTTGAAGATGGAGGTTCTTATTCCAGCCCCCGCCGACTGTGAAGTGCGGTCAGTGATAACGCTAGGCCGCACACGACTCGACGGACAGCAAGTCTCCTGCAGAAGTTCAGCTGGGAGGTGTTTAATCATCCACCCTACAGCCCGGACCTCGCTCCCAGTGATTTCCATCTTTTCCTACACCTCAAGAAATTCCTGTCCGGTCAGCGTCAGCGTCAGCGTTTTGAGAATGACAGAGAGGCGGAGATGGCTGTCACACAGTGGTTCCAATCCCAGGCGGCAGACTTCTACGACACAGGTATTCAAAAGTTGGTCCCACGGTATGACAAATGTCTCAATTCCGGTGGCGAATATGTTGAAAAATAGCTAGACACTTGCTGTATCTGTTGCAATAAATATTCCCATGAAATTGTGTTTTGTTTCTGTAAACGGCCCAAGGGAAACTTACTTTGTGGACGAGCCTCGTATTTCGCGAAGTAGCAAAGAAATACAAGTAAAGTGAAATTGTAAAAATTATACTAAAATTTCAAACAAATGGCAAAGTCTACATGGCGTATTATGAAACGTAATTGCTGTACTGACATTTTTCGTTGGTGGTTGCTGCGTCACTCTGAAATAATTTTGTTCCTCCAAGTTATTATTGAAATATGTGTTAGATGCGAATGCGATTGGGCATTCGTACAAAGTGTTGTAATATTTAGGCTAAAACTTTGTTGAACTCGTACTGAAAATAACAAATAGCATTAAAAAGATCCGGACTTGAGTCAGTATCCACGTACAAGCGAATCCAATGTGACAGTGAATTTCTGCCTTTCGTGAAAGTTCTCTAGGCCGTAGTGGTAATATTATAGTTGAATCAGGAATTAATATAAAAAAGGAATAAAGTTTCTTTGGTTGTTAAACATTTCTTCGAAGTCGGTTTGTTCAGTATGGAGTCATTACGTGCGGACAAACAGTCTAAACGAGATAACAAAAATCTAGTCATTTAATGACAATATGGCCGTAACATCGAGGCAGATGAGATGAACCGGAAATGTAAAATACATGAAGGGGGAGACAAAGTGCTTTCAGAGTTATGGTAGTAAATTCACTGAAAGAAATAATTTTAGAAGCTTATATATGGAAGTTACAGGCGACTTCAGCGGAACTCTGAAAAATCTGATGACGCAAACTGGGTAGAAATAGCTCAGAATGGGTAGCTTATGGTGGGAGAAGCTGATAATTCTTTGAAGAGGAGGAAAAGACATATTAAACTATTTCTCTATTCACAAATTTGATTTATTATCATTAAATTCATATACAATAAATTTTTGTCATAAAATTAGCCTATATTAGATCACATACTACAGGATTACAAGTATCGTTATGCCTGTCAAAGAATTAAACTAATCAGTTACGAGTTAATCATCACAATCTTTCTCGACTTTAACAAATTGATATAAGTTTTGTGAATGAAGATTGTTTATGTATGTCATTTTAATGACGTTTAATGGTGTTTTGAAAACTGGAACTACTTATTTTGTACACACAAATTAGAATCAACCTAGAGTTCAGTTATTTAAAGTGAGATATAAACCAAAAGAACGAACTGCTAGAAAATCAGGTCTAATATAGTTTGAATTTGGTAAACTTGTTTATAGATATCGTTTCGGTTGTTAATCTTTCATCGATGCTCTTAGGGAAATCTTCTAATCATTAAGAACACGTATTAAAGAATAATTCTTCTTTATGTAGCTTGTTACGTGGAACGGAAATCATCTATACAGAGTTTGCTATCGATAAGTACATCCCGACCATACAACTCGTTTCCTTCCACGTGGGACTAATTCTAGGCGCTGATGTTAAAATCACTCCGCTGCAGGATACGTGTTTGTAACATCAGAGGACTTCATACATATACGACTTGCAGCACATATTTAGTGCAGGTTATGAACTCCAAATTATTGACTCCAGCAATATTTTCACCAAGTCCAAGGTAGTGGGAAAGGACTATTTTTCGGGAAAGCCCTGACTTGAATTCGGGACTCAGTATTCTGACTGGTATGAAATGCATTTCTTTTAATTTACTTCCCGTGGAGTTAGATTTATTTAAGCAACGGATATTCATTATGTACTCTAACTACTTTTATGACATGTTTTAGCACCTTAAATTCTGTTCATGACGGATTTTTCACTTTATGTTGTTCTAATTTTAACCGTGGTACTATGAAATATACGGTAATTAACTTCGCGTCTGAACATGCCTTATTAGACATCAATTATAAAACAAGTTATGCAGCTCATAGACGTAGCACATGCAGTAAGAAGCACTGTGAGAAATGGAATAACTTTATACCCTTGCGTTTGTATCAACTGCGCCAAATACAAACAAAATTAAATACAATTTCTAACAAATTCATTCCGTGGAGCATTGTTTGAGAAACTAATAATCACTTAGTTAAGAAATATCCCGACTATTATAAAATCCACAAGTTCGTTACGGTCTTAAGAACCCGACATTTTACTCGGAGTCAAAATCTACACATCATATTTCTTTAAGATTAATTTTAATGTTATTTTTGCACACACGCCTAGATCTCCCTAGGTTTATTTCTGTTTTCAAAATAAATTATTTATAGATCTATGCATTTGTCATATCTCTTATGCGTGCTACATGCCCAGCAGAACCTCATCCTTTCTGATTTGATCATCATAATGTAAACAGTTAGGACTACAGATTATGAATCACATAAAGAATTTTTCTCCTATTCCTCTCATTTCCTCCTTAGATCCAAATATTTTTCTTAGAAATCTGTTCTAATGCGCCGTTTGGGTTCAAATCACAATTTCGGAATTGAATATTCAATATCAAAGTATATGTACGGTGTTAGAACCTTGAATATTGTGAGTTCATCTTTTTAATGAACACATTGCAGATTTAAAAATGTAATTTCTCCGTAATTTAATTGCAAAAATTAATATTCTGAGACGAGAAATTTCTTTTAAGGAAATAATAAAAGATATATGACTGAACGTCTAAAGTTAATCTAACTAGTAACATTTGTTAAAGACTTAACTTTTCATTCACCACGCGGAGAAATACCAACAACACAAAATAAACCGTACAGAATTTGTAAATTGGTTTACAGTATATCACCTTATTAACTTATATGTCAAGTACAGTGATTGGTTGTATTTCTCCTTGTCATCATGTTATTTTTAATTTTTCTATTAAGTTTATTATTGTGATAAAGTAAGGGATTTTTTTCCAAAACGAATCTGAACTACCGAATAAATCTGTAGAATGTTAACAAGAATTTTAACTGACCCTAAGATGCTCTTTATTCTATATTTTCCTAAGATCACACTTTTCAACTTCAACTTTGAGTGGGTATTACTGTCAACACCCACGCAACATTGAAGTTCACAAGCACAGACAATGCAACCACGGCTCACCGTAGACCAACAACGGAAATCAGGCCATTGGACATGGATTTTATATATTAATACACTGCACGGTATGCAAGGTTTCAAAAGTAGACCAGTTCAGATATTAGACAGGATTCTATTTTTAAGTATTTACGTAATTTTGTTATCTGCAATGTTACTACGAGGGTGAGTCAAATGGAAACCGTAAAACTGAGATAAAAATTCGAAATATCGCGCCATTGTCCTATAAGTTGGCAGACATGTTACCAATGCTATAAAGAGTATCCTATAGGTGGTAGTATAATGCAGACAAACATATCGCCATCACAGTGCCAATTTGAAAATGGCTGCTCCACTAGTTACGTGCACGAAAGAAGAACAACGTTCTGTAATTCGTTTTTTGATCAGTGAAGAATCTT